ATTGGAGGCAAGCATCTTTGTGGAAAAGACACTCATTTCATTTGTGAGCATTGAATTGTGAGCAGACAATTCCAGGAAATTGATGAAGAGTGATATGAAAGAAATATAATGTCTAGGAGGAGCAAATGGCTTGGGAAAAGTATATAAAATGAATACTTGACACTCTTTTTATGTTCCATTGGAAACTGATAATAATAAACATAACTTTCTAGGAATAGCTCTTTTTTAGTTCCTGAAGGCACTTAGGGGAATTAAAGAAATTGTCGACCAAATTGTCCACCAAAAATACATCATGTAGCTGTTAAAATTAGAGCTTTGTTTGCAAGAGATTGAGAATAAACTTCAGCTTATTTGGTGGTCCTGCCACTCTAGAGGATGTCAGGAAGTACCTTGGAATCCCTTAATTTAATAGTTGTAAGGGAATAAAAGATCATCTTAACCAAACCTCTTATTTTACAGTTGAAGTGTAAGTCTAAGTGAATAGTCCAAGATCTCACAGCTAATTATTGTCTAGGTGCTGCACCACATTATAAGGGACAAGTTCAGTGGTGTAGGAAAACATCATTCCCCTAGATTCTGTGTTTTAACTAGACCACTGTGAGCCACTCTTCTGCATGCATCTAAGGGAATCCTACCAGTTTCAAATGATTACCCCATCACTTAAAATTCTCAATCAACAGACCAAAGAAAAGCCACAGAAATCATTTGAGTTACTGACAAATGGCTGTAATAGCTATTTTCCTCCAGATTTAAATATTCAAATTCATTTAATTCCCCATGTTGTTTGTATAACACTAAAGAAACTTTAAATTATAATGCCATTTTTCATTTTTCAAAGATGTGATCTTACTATTAATCATAGCGTCAACACAATTCATAATCATCCCTTGTTTCTGATTTATATCACAGGCCACATTTAAAGCTTTGCAAAGATACATGCAAGGCCTTAAGGCCAGGAATCAGTAGCATTGGGTGAGGATTTCACATCTTCTGATTATCCTTTATTACAGACATTATTATTTATGTACTCCCAACTACAATCTTGTACTTTTACCTTCCGTAGGGAATATGTCACACTAAGTCAGTCATTTAGAACACAAGAAATTAAATCAAACTGAGAAATCTTGGGGTATAAGTTATGTTCATTTAGACACTTTCCAGTTGCCTAGCTTAAGTGAGAGATGTCTTACTCCCTCAGGTTCACACATCCTCATCCCTATGGCAGCTCACCTTTTTATTAGATTCTCAGTCTTTGAGAAAACAAAGCCAGACTTTCTGCTTCATTCTGGGGGCACGTTCCTGGAGTGAAGGTATAATCATTTTCCATATCACTTCCTAACACCCCAAGCTGGGCAGAGGAGAATAGGGCTTCGAGGATAGAATAGCAATAGTGGACTCTTGTTGCCAAGGAAAGAAAAACATATAAACCTGTAGGAAAATAAAACAAAAACCTCTCACCCATCAAAAGACCACTCTAGCCAGCAATAGAGTTTAAAGTGCTTCATAGGGCCATACTAAGTTGGCAACTGTAAATTACTGGATTCAAATATATTGTTGGTATTCAGAGTCTCAGAACAATCCCCCAGTCTCAGCTTTGCTCCACTTATGCTCATATTTTCAGTAAGTTATGGCCAACAATCACCTAATACGTTTTGACTGTCAAACTTTTATGCAATTGGTAATGATCCTTCCAAAATGGTTTCTGTGGCCAATGAAGCCCTTCACCCATAAACCATAGACTCAGGAAGGAAACAGGGAATGACCAAGACATTTTGTGTTTGCATTTGTATTCATTTGTATACAGACCCATAATTCCTAATGGTGCATCCTTTCATTCTCTAAATGTCACTCTTAAGTGCTACAGAAATGCATACGGTTCTAAATAACACCAAGTGTTTAAAAATAAAACTCTTGTCCTTGTCATATCTTGGAATATGATTATAGCAACTGTAGCCAGTCAAGAACAAAGACACAGGTTAGAAAGTCCCAAACCTAGGGACTACCCCTATTCTTTTTTTTTTTTTTTAAAGATTTTATTTATTTATTTGAGACAGAGAGAATGAGAGACAGAGAGCATGAGAGGGAGGAGGGTCAGAGGGAGAAGCAGACTCCCTGCCGAGCAGGGAGCCCGATGTGGGACTCAATCCCGGGACTCCAGAATCATGACCTGAGCCGAAGGCAGTCGCTTAACCAACTGAGCCACCCAGGCGCCCGGGACTACCCCTATTCTTAACCTATGGTAAGAAGACTAGTATTCAGCAGGGTTCGTCAGTGGGTAGTTCAGTAAAACAGTCCTTAGCAGAAAAGTTGAAGGTGTGATAATGATCAGGTGGACCACAGTTAGGGGGAATCTGGAAGGCAGGAGGGCAAGGATTCACCATTGATCACTTGGATCATTGGTAAGAAGGGATTACATATAAACCAGGGTTCATGAACAGGAATCCAACCTCAGGAAGATGGAGCTTAGCTGGCAGGATTGTTCAAAGTGGATGGGGGCTGAAGAGAGGCTTGGGGTAGTGGTTAATATAGTGATGACACCTGCAACAATGATAGCTGATATATTTAAAGCTCTTACTACATACCAGGTGCTTTGCTACACACTCTTCCATGAAGTCGCTCCTCTATTACTGTAATTCTGTAGCTATTTTTATTCCCGTTCTAAAAATAAGAAACTGAGGCTAGAAAAGGAACGTGACCAGTCCCACTGCTTGTTTGCATTTTTATGTACTGTTTCAGATATCCCTTATTCCCTCGGATTCTTCTCCACCTTGCTCTTTAAGAGGCTGACAGGAGGGGATGAGAGGAGATTGGAGAGAAGAATGAGGGAAATTTAGGTCAAAGTATTTATTGTCCCAGGTCCAAACCCATAGGGTCATGTCAGGCTGTCTGTGCCCCTTGTCTCACAGAGTATTTAATACAGGAGCACATGATGGAATATGGTCTCTAGGCCCACCTGAGATGCCCAGTTGTCATACTCTAGTAGGAGTTCAGAGAGAGCTGAACAACAAGGGGTGCAGAAACCCAGAATGTGGGGCGAGAACTTAGATCTTCTTTGCCTGCGATCACAGACCTGAAGGTCTACACTGCAGCTGGAGTCAACCTGCTTCATCTGCAGGGTCGGGAGAGTACTAAGGACTCTGGCAAGGCTCTGTGGCAATTATACTTCTCTTGACATTGTGAGAGCCTTACTCTCTACTCAGTTAAGTCCACTGGGAAACATTTTTTTTCTGTTAATTGTTCTTTTATCCAACTGCTGTTAGGACTTCATGATACAGTGGGGTCCCCCTAGGAACTTTGAAATGAGAAAAATCTGATAGCCTCCCTTGCTCTAAGAGTAAAATTTTAATGTCAGCAGAGGTGAGAAATGCACAAAACTGCCCAAGAGGCAGACTCAATCCCAGGCCTGCAAGTCTTGATGATAACCCAGTAGATATACTAATATATATGTATTTATATATTCACACAGATTTTTTAAAAAAATGAGTGAATCTATCACAAGAGAGTACTAACAGCCTCTAGGACAAAGAAAATGGGGAGTTAGAGAGGTAAGTGAGTAAATGCGGGCATAATCTGGTGAGTGGACAAAGACCTGTGGCCAATGAATTAGACTCTCTCTGCCCTTTTGTCAAGATGGTGGCTTTATATGATTATCCAAGTTTTCAACTGTATTCTCATTTAGGAAACCGGATTCTAATTGGACTTCTCATATATTTTGTCTTTAGGGAGAAAATGTGTCAGGCAGAATTAAGAAACTGAATCAAGTAGATTTTATACTAAGATAAATTTGTGATCACTGTAGTTGTATTTATAAGTTTTGTAAGTTAATGTGAGTCTGCATCTGAGAGACAGATCATCCTATGTGTGTTGACAAATAAGGCCTCACCCTCTTCAAGATTAAGGACCAGATGCTGTACCATGGGAAAGTCATTAAGCTGATCTCATCCTGCAAAGCATTTTGGGAGGAGAACAAGCTGGTTGACCACAGAGGACCCTTTCTCCTCTATAGCAATCTGGACTTTGGGTTGTTTATTTTTTTAAAAGTCATTAATTATCTCTGTATTAGACGCTCTGGGACCTTGTGTGGATAACTTAAAACAGGAGGAACATCTCTTGATTCAATAAAAAAAAGCTTCATTGAAAAATTTGTAAGATCCAGTATTCACCCCTGCCTGCTCCCGTAGACATGAATTTTCAGAACTTGCCAGCTTCCTGGACAACACTCACCTGGAACTGGGACTTAGTTCCCACCTTGTTCTTTGCCACAGCAGAGCATTAGCCCTGCCTTCTCCTACACTCAGGCTAGAGTAGATCCACAGATACTCCTTTTCCAGGAGGGGAGGCCAGATAATATTTTAAACATACTGTCAACTATTACCCCATGACTGTTGTTATGTGGAAAAAAAAATTAAGATTTATTTATTTATTTTAGAGAAAGAGAGCATGAGCGGGGGTGGGGGAGAGAAGCAGACCCCCCTGTTGAGCATGGAGCCCAACACGGAGCTCCATTCCACAAAAAGGTTGTGAACTGAGCTGAAATCAAGAGGGACATTCAACCAACTGAGCCACCCAGGCATCCCATTATGTGAAAAAAATTTAAAAGTAATCATTTTCCTTAGTTAATGATTGTATCCGTTAATTCATCCATTTGTTCAATCAGTGTTCTTTGAACAAGTGTTATATGCAGGCTCACCAGTCATTTCCCTTTCCTGCTCTGTTCTGGAGAAAGAGCCACATATTATAAATTACATGCAAGATATTCACACATTCCTTATGGGAACACTGGGGCATTAGGGACTTTGTGGAGCAGGTGGTATTGAGATAGATCTTGAAGGACAGAATATGCTTTTACTGGCAGAGACTGCAAGGACTCAGGAAAAGTTAACTGGAATAAGGGTGAAGAGGAAAGAATGCTGTTTTGAAATCTGAATTCCCTTCTATCCCAATTATTATACACGTGACTTTGGAAAAGCCAGTTTATCTTTTTAAAACTTCCATTTTCCTCATGTGCAAAATGGGATAAAAATACTCACCTTCTCAGGGTTGTGGGGATTATGTGAAATAATATATGTTAAGATTTCCTGTAAACTCTAAGTGTTATGTAATGGTGGGATTCTGTTCACACACAGCTAACAAAAGGAGAACGCAGAGGAGTCATACAGTGAGTTGGAGAAATTACAAACGTTTTGGCCATGAATTTTGTGTAGGTATGTATGCCCTTTCTCATTTGAGTGAGATAAGTGACTTATCCTTTTTGTTTTTCAGTTACTCAGCTGAAAAATGGGAATGCTATTTTCCACTGTGATGACTAAAATTAGAGTATATTATAAAATGTAATGAGCATTTGGTAGTGAAGAGCTTATGTAAATAATCTCAACTGAGAACACGTTTCAGCAAAGAAATCTCATTCTGAAGAGGTATCTTTAATGTGCTACTATTCTGCCTTTATTGGGAAAATAGGAAATGTTTGACAAAGCTCTTGAAATGGTGGAAGACTAAGTAAATTCATTAAAATTTGATCTATATTAGGTGATTGTCTCTTTTAAAAAATTAATTGGGCGTTGGTTTTTAAAAATTACGATATTCTAGTACTTGATTTTGGTTAATTACCATCAGAGCCATTTGGGAGCTTGGGCATTAATTTCATTTTAATAAACAGCATCAGCCTAATGTGGGAATAACTTTTATTTCAAAACTGAATTCCTAATGCAAATGCCTGAAAGAAGCCTCCATAAAACCCAACAGCATACACGAGAGTTATGTCTTCATAATGTAAACATAGCCTAAAATTGCAATAAAGATATAAAAACAAGAATTTTGGAACAGTCATTTGTAAATGATTGCATAATTCCTGTAAGCTTCATCCCTTTGTTTTCCAAACCCTGCCTTTAAACTGCTTAATCTGTTTCTCTGACGGTTGGGGGTGTCATACGACACCTACAGAAGAAGTATTTTTTTCAATATTGCTATTATGAGCAACATCTTAGTATATAAAAAATGCCATGAGCAATGCTAATTTGAATGGCTTCTGAGCCAACATCAGCATTGCTGACACCGTGTGTTATGTGTATCAAACCTAATCACTCTCATAATATGATGCCTCAGTAAATCTGTGAATATTAACATACAGTCGCATCAACTTAGCACTGCCTCATGCTGCAGTATATTGGCACAGAAACACTCTGGTAGAGGAGCAGAGCAGTTCAAGCATAAATACGTAGAATGTATTTGTAATGTATTTATGATTTGTAAAGTGGCTGTTTATCAGTTCTAAGCTCCGCTGATATGATGGCACTCTTTTCCAGTCTTACCTATCCTAAAGCACTTTGTAAGTGCTATTTCAAAATCAGATATGTCCATTTTGAGAGAGGTGATTTATCTTCTTTATGACATGATATGTTTATTTTAGAAAATATTATCAATCCAATTTCAAATTTATGAAACAAATAGACTAGTTGGTAATTATTTCCTTTCTAGAATGATTACTTACATGCAGAAGGAAATACCTGTAGGACTCAAGCTTCCTTTGGAGTCATATATGAAATAAGACTGATGCATGTGTGTTCAGAAACATAAAGACATTTACACCAGCAATCTTCCAACCAGCGTGGTGTCAGTAAATGGCATATATTATACCCACCTAGAATTCCTACATACCTAAAATAATTCATCTTTCTTGTTTTGCTCAAGCTGCCAATGGTTAAAAAGACACACATGTACTAGTATAGAAATAGATGATCTCAATAACACAAAAGGTGAGTAAGTCACAACTGTGGTGCAGGCAAAGGATTTGCTAACAGAATTCTGGTCCTTGGATCAAAAGGGCAACCAAATAAAAACCAACTGAGCACATGTTTCTCTAGCCAAACTTCTTAAAGAGTCAAATGAGATAGAGTCCACAAAATGTATTTTGGGAAAAAAGTTATGTTTTAAGGCAGTTTTCTTTTGTGTTTTATGATTGTCAGCTTTTCCTACTAAGTCAGTATCACTTTGATGGTAAAACATGGGTAGTTCAGGATTTTTTGTCTGTTTTGGGGATAACCAGAGTGTTACTTTTATCATTGAAGGTTTGTCATGAGTAATTTTTGGAGCAAAGTCTTGAAATGAAATTAACTTGAGCTTTACAGACTTATTTCAAAACCACATGATACAATGCTTTATTAGGCTGTTCTTCTGAACAGAATGTACGGTGCAGTAAGCAGAAAGGATTCTCCTAAGGTTCAGTGTGGGTTATGTGGGCAAAAAGGTAGCAGGGAGACCAGGGAACTTCTTTCCCTTCTTCTAGTGCGAAGGGCTGCATTTAAACTCAGCTTTCCATGGGACGAGTGGCTTCTTTACTCTGCCAGCATCCTATAGGCCGTGAGGTTTCCAGGTGTTGGATAGCTAGCTTTTTCAGACAGCTTCTGTAAACGGCTGCCATACAAATTCTAACTCCTGATACAAAGCAATGGTGCATTCCCTCTCTGACAAGGCTACTTTCTCATTCTTAACCTACAAGAGGGGAGATACCTCTCCATAAGAGAGCAATTCCACATTGTAACATGGGTTGAATTAAAGAATGTGCCTTAATACTGGGCACAACAATTAGCAGCCCTGAAGGAATTCTTCTGGCATGCCATGATGCATTTGGTTAAGTCCCTAGGTGGTGCTATTTATAAAACACTTGCATAAGGATTCACAGATTCCCAGAACATTCAATTGTGCTATAAAAGAGACAACCACCACCATATTATATTGGTTGCTGTTTAAGCAACTTTGGTGATTAAATACTGGGGAAAAAACACACTTTACTATAGCAACCTATAATTAGATAACTTTATATTCAGGCCAGTAGTAAGGAACTCTCAAATGGAGACAAACACCAGGGATGGAGAGGGCTCTCTCATAGGCCCAGCAAGCCCCCTGCAGTCACAAACCACATATGATTCCACTTTTACTAGCCAGCAGAACCAGGGACAGATTAAAGGGGAGAAGAAGACATTTATAAAGATTGGCAACTGAAAAGATTGGCTCAACAGTGCATAAGAACCCTTTAGCACTCGGTGTGGTGCTTTTTATCATCATGGCAAAGGACGGATTTCAGATTCTGGTCATTTGTCATTTTAAGAGCATGCTCTGGGGCAGAATTTTCTTTTCTTTCTTTTTTTTTTTAAAGATTTTATTTATTTATTTGACAGAGAGAGACATAGTGAGAGCAGGAACAAACAGGGGGAGTGGGAGAGGGAGAAGCAGGCTTCCCGCGGAGCAGGGAGCCCGATGTGGGACTCGATCCCAGGACCCTGGGATCATGACCTGAGCCGAAGGCAGAAGCTTAATGACTGAGCCACCCAGGCACCCCAGAATTTTCTTCTAAAGTACATGCATGATTCCCACTGACATTCTCTTGCAATATGTTCCCTCCAGTTGGGAAGTTCTTCTGAAGTAATGGCCAGTATAATCCAGTTATAGAGAAGTAAAAACTACTGTATGATGTACCCATTAATATGCCAATGCATGTATTATTTGCAACTTAGAATTCAGGGACTTTAAATAAAAAATCTTTAAAAAAAAAAAAAAAAGGGCGCCTGGGTGGCTCAGTTGGTTAAGCGACTGCCTTTGGCTCAGGTCATGATCCTGGAGTCTCTGGATCGAGTCCCGCATCAGGCTTCCTGCTCGGCAGGGAGTCTGCTTCGTCCTCTGACCCTATCCCCTCTCAGGTGTTCTCTCTCTCTCATTCTCTCTCTCTCAAATAAATAAATAAAAAATCTTTAAAAAAAAAAAAAAGAATTCAGGGACTTTAAGAGCTGACTCCTTTTCTCTGAAGGTCATTGCCGCCATTCTTACTGCTTGAATAATTACATTAATGATGACTCATCTCCTTTATGTGATGATTGTGAAGTTGGAGCAAGCCAGGAGACACAGTTCAAAGATCTGTTGATTTCAACAGTATGCAAATAACTTTATATACAATGGACTCTCTATATATTGTACTTTTTTCCTCCCTACTCCATGTTTTTCTATTTATAAAGGAAAACATAAAATAATGGGAACAGTGAATATTGAATCAAATTTGACCATTATAAAATTAAATCGCTCAAAGTAGAGAATAAAGATGAAAATGTTTGAGGCTTTTTCTTATATATTAGGCGAAATCGTACAAATAGAGGGAATTCTGCCTGATTGAAAGGGTATGAGTTGTATTGGAGGATTTACAATCATCTCCTGAAACTGCTTTGTAGACATTTAACATAGTTCAGACTAAAGCATCCACATTTATCTCTTATTGACAATAAATGCTAAATGGTCCAAAGTCCAAATTGGTCTTTTTCACAACCCAAATTCACTGAAATATTTAATTACCAAAGCTTAATTTTGTGTTGGTGGGAGAAAGAAGAGGAAGATGAAACTCTTCAGAACAAAAATCCATCTGTTACCAATAATAGCCTTTGTATTTAAAAAGCAATTGGTGATAACATGACTTTTCCTTCTTTGTCCTATTTTTGTATTTCAGTTCTTTGGGAAGAAGGTCATTTTAAAAATTAACAGACTATCAAAGAAGGATACAGTGAAAGTTAACATTGCATGGACTTTGTCAGGAAATAAAGGGAATATGTAATTTGTTTGATGTAGGACCTCCAAATCTTGAGCACATCCTGTGTGTCAAATGGGAATGAATGAATTTTGGTGATATTTAGTTTTGTAGTTACGATGACTAGAACTTATTACTGCATAAACCACATTTGAAAAAAAAAGTCTCTTTGAGACAATATTACTTTGGCCATTATTCAAATGAGCAGGAACAAATGAGGCATTTATACAGTTTTTTTATTCTTACTCAAATCAAGCTAAATCTCATTAAGAAATGAAAAAAAAAATGAATCCAGCAAAAAGAGCTTTTGCAATTAAAAATAACTTAGATGAGAGATAATCTATTTTACAAAAGGATATGTTCTATTTGCACTTATTTATTGTATAAAACAAAAATCAATTTTCTGTTAAGGGTCCTTCATTCATAATTGAAACAGGTTAGATCTAATTAATGGAAACTTTTTTTTTTTCTGCCAAGAAGTTCTATCATAAAACAAGGAAGTAGACTAGTGAAACCTAAGTCCATATGATTTTAAAAAATGACTCCTCTTTTTATGATGCTCATTCCATGTATGGGTTTATAAAAAATACATTAACACAGGGTGCACCTGAGTGGCTCAATCAGTTAAGCATCCTGGGA